ACACACACACACACACACACACACACACACACACACACACACACACACGTTTCGACTGGTTATAAAAGCTTCGGGTCTGAAAGAGTTAGAAAGGTGAGTCTGGTTCTGTTGGGTTCTGTCCTCTGACTCAAACAATAATTCAGTGTTTGACTTTTCTCCCAACAAACAACTGAATAGTTATTAATGTTAACCCCAGGGTGATGATTTGTACTGCTGCTGGGATTATTCACTTTTAAAAAGAATATTTCTATCTTGTTTTCTAAAGAGCATTTAAAAAGTCAGACTGCTCAGTTGTAAAGGGATTAAGTTTAGATGTAGTTTAACTGTTTAAAAATAAAAACTGTGGGTTTAATGGATCCAATTTTAAGATGAAAAGCTCCAATTAAAATTAAAATATTTCATAATGTATTTAACAAACACATTAATTTGTCATTAAAATGTATTAAGAATTGGTTTATCTGTCTCACCTTTTCCTTTTTTCTCACGAGTGACACTTGAATGTTGATATTCAAACATCTCTTACAAGGACAAGGAAGTGGTTTTGTCATGTTATGTATTTTTCAATAATTATTTATTCTGAAAATGCTAAGTTAACAGAAGTTATTTATTAAATTTAATATGTTTTTATTGTGTGCTAAACTGTAATGTTTTCTGTGATGCTGTTTTTTGTGACTACACGTACGAATTAGGTCAAATCTTATTTTTCTTCATGATAATTGCTCCTGTGCATGGTCCTTTTTCTCCAACCATCCATTTTTTTTACTCACTTGTCTGTTTCAGGTCATATCAGACCCTGTGAGAGGAGGACAGGTCTCCAGTCCATCACTGGGACACAAAGAGACAATTTAGAGTTACCAATTAACCRAACATGATTTTGATCTGTGGGGGAAATTATTCAGAGGAAACCCATCGGTGCACAGGAGAACATGTAAACTGCACCCAGAAAGGCCCCAGGCCAGGAGGCGAACCTCTGACCTTCTTGCTCTAACCACTGCGCCACTGCGCAGCCTGGTCCTACTTAATAAACTTMATAAAATAAAAATACAAAAACAGAAACAATCCACATTTTTAAATCGTACTGTTTAATCTGTAAAAATCATTTAAATATGTTTTTTTCCCCTAATTGATTCCATGTTTCAGTCCTAACATCACCATCAGCACTTTAGTGAAAATGTTCACATTTCTGGTTCGTTTCTGTGACACAAATCTGCCGTTTCAAAGTGAAATGATTTGATTTTTAATCTTCATCGAGGCGTCACTCCCTGCACCCCCCCACCC